GTCGTCCCTTGAAGTCCCTTACAGAAGGTTTAGGGTTTAGGGTAAGTATGGTATGTCTCTAAACCCTAAACCCTAAACCGGTATGCCCCCATAACCCATTCCACCATTCCCTACCAAGATCAGTGGGGCTTTTGCAGACTTAGTGGTCGCGTTTTTCGACTGCGGGCGCCATGTTTTAAAAGCTGCTTCTTACAAGGGTGGGTTTAGGGTTGAAGCGTGAGGGCTTCGCCATTGATGAGCTTGGGTCGTGAATACTACCCCCTGACCCCTAGCCATACTTGTAAAAATAGTCGAAGCCTTGTTGGTAAGATAGGTACCTGCTATTAAAGGGCAACTCGAGCCCTCGAGTTACTTGCTTTTGCCTTGGGTTAGAGACTACACAATCCAGTGAACATGCCGCAGGGCACACTCTTTAAGTGAACGTGCCTGATAGAAGCAATCGGTTTCGGGCTTAGGTTCCAGGTTTACGGTTTTTGGGTCACAAAACCACAGGAGGTGCACCGGCCTTCGGCGAAAGCATTCTTTGTCAGCCAGGGGAGCGGAAGCATTTTCAGCAAGGAGGGCATCTTGGGGTTGAGGGTTTGGAGGGTTTAGAGGGTTTGGTTTAGGGTTTAGGGTTTAGGGTTTAGGGTTTAGGGTTTAGTTTAGAGTTGATGGGACTGTTAAACATGCACTCTTCTTCTGTCAAGGATGTTGAAAGTTTCATCATGTGTCAGCCTCCAACAGAAGTCCCCTGGAACCCTGTGAGGCCTAGGCCGGCGCTTCCACCAGGTTTCACACGCGTCTCAGGGCAGCTCGTGCTCAACTTGAATCAACCTGGGATGGGTTTCACCGGTGCTAGACCGGCAAGTCCTGCCGAAAGAGCTTCGCTTCAGAGCCTACGGTTCAGGGTTAAGGGTTTCCCTAAGGGTCCATATATACTACTATTATGGAATTAGGTCCTAAAAACCATAATGTGGATGGTCTTTTGGGACCTAAACCCATAATAGTAGTGTTTATGGACCCTTAGGGTTTAGGAGCCATATGACATCTTAGCCTGCGGAACAGTTCGTGACGTCGCGAAGTCTCCTCTGTGTGCAGCTTCGCATGATCCGTATGCAACGCATGCATGTATGCATGCATGTATGTACACATACATGTATGTTTGTATGCCTGCGCATATTATCTACTTGCACACTTAGTCGTGCATTGTTCTGGGTCTAGGCCGAAGTTCGAAGCGAGGAGGCTGATTGTTGTCTTGAGTCTCGAGCGCAGGCTTCCGTTGCTGAACTCGGCAAAGCCTCGTCGCTCGATGCGAAATGTCGAAGCCCAACAATCTTGAATTCTACTACCTGCAGGGTCCTTTTGTCAGCAAAGTTTAATATATATACACTGAACCGAAAGTACTGGTATAGGAACCGCACCCTTAAATTTTCGACCCTGATATACCCTGAACCCTGCAACTTTTGAATCAACCGTCAAACCCCACAGCCCGAAGCCCGCGAAAACCACAGCCCTGGATCCTTGAAAAAAATCAGTTAGGGTTTAGGGTTTAGGCTTCCAAGTAATCAAACCACAGACCCCTGATCCTGAATGCTGCTCCTGAACTCGACGCTCCTTGATCCGAAAGCCTCAACCTCGAAACCCCCTAGCTTTCAATCCAAAGGCCGGGCCCCGAAACCCAAAACCGCACATTCTGACTCCAAAACCTGAACCTGTGAACCACACAAGCCTGCACCTCTAGAGCTTCCCCCGCGACTTTCGAGATTGTTGAGGGTTTGGGGGTTAGGGTTTATAAGGGCCAAGCCTTTCATCTCTGAATGCTACCCCAAAGCCCAAACCAACTACAGCAAACCCCAAAAAAAGATGAAAACCGGAGTAAGGACAAATGGTGCTGGGATTCCCTATACATTCCTTTTAAGGATTGAGGCTATTGGGTTTCCAACTTTTGGACGTCTACTGTATCTGAAAGACCCCGAAAGCCCGAGACCCCTAATGTAGGGGCCATAATAATTAGAATAGGGCTTTGGGCTCCTTTACACCTGGGTTTAGAGTTTAGGATGTAGGGTTTAGGGTTACTATAATTATAATAAGGAACCCCCAAAACAGCATAGGTAATTATTCAGGCCCCCGGTATTAAACCCTAAACCCCTCAACACCTCGAACCGCGGACCCCCTCAAGCCGAAACCTTAAGCCACTCTACATCGTCATTTACGCCTCCATGCCCAACCGATACTTTTGTCGTAAGATGTAATACAACTCCTTTATATATTATATATCCCAAAATTATAACTACTGTCATAAGATGTGATGCAACAAGATTCCCTTATATCAGCCCCTGACTCAGTTTATACTTGAAGCTGACATGGCAAGTCCGGGAAACGCCCGAGGATTAAACAAGCGCGGCCCTCGCGCAGCACACAAGGTCGGCTCCTGACAAATGGGTTTTTGTCACCCGGAATCTGCTACTGGAGTACCCATAGGCCCCTAAGTCTAAGTAGTCCCTTTTTGGGGATTATGTTTAGAATTCTATAAGGTAATCCCAGAAAGGAACTACTTAGGGGCCTATGGGTAATTGTTTGTAACTACCGAAAACCCTGCTGTTCGAGTGTTTGAACCCTTAGCCCCACTCAGCTCTCAGATTGTGCTTCCGGGCTCAGGCGGGTTGGCTTGAATTTTGTTGGGCCCCAGTTGCCTAAATCATGCATGGCATATTGGGTAGATACACTTTAGGCAGGCAAGAGGCTGGCTCGTGACCAGATGTTTAGGAAACTGGGGCGGATTTGGGGTGTACGGCTTAGGCTTAGGACGTTTCTTCTGCACCTCAAAACTCTAATTATCAAGCTCCCAGCGAACGCGTCAGGCTGCCTTCAAGGTCTCGTATAATTACGCTACATACATGCTTACCCCACAAAAAACCATCGTTCAACCGGCAGAGATCAACATCGATACTATCCGAAGCAATCACAGCATTCGGAGGCCCCAAAAGGTGGGAATATCCCACCTACCCATAGGCCCCTAAGTAGTTCCTTTTTGGGATTATATTTAGGTAATCCCAAAAAGGAACTACTTAGGGGCCTATGGGTATATGTGTGCATCCTCCAGACTCTCGCCCGCAAATCTCCAGCTCAGGGTCCTCGTCTATCTGAGCTGCGCGGCCGGACTTCCCCAAATGTTCCTGGCGGGTTTAGGGTTTATAGGGTTTAGGGTTTCATGCGCTGGAACCCCTAAAGCCCTAAACCCCCTCAGCAGCCCTTGGAACTGTAGCCTGTTTACATCATCGATTTGTTTACAAAGTTCGAGCGAAATCTTTAAAGTCATGCTTTAAGCTTGCATTGAAAATATGCCGTAGTGGCCGTAGTGTCTTCTTTGAGGTTCAATATGCAATTTGGCGGTTCACAGATTCGACACCGGACAGCCTTCGTGGTCATGCCGGAGGCGATCAAGAAGGTATGATAGCCTCAGCTGTTGAGAGCCCCCGGGGCTTCTGACGCCCTGTCATTGAAATTTGGGGGTTTCCGAAAATAGGGGACCCTAATATAGTATCCTAATACTAGGATCCTCATTATAAGGACCCCAAAATACGGTACCCTAACTTTCGGAAGCTCCCATTTTCCCCAAACGGAGCAGACTACCTCAGAGTCCGAGACAGTGAGCGCTCCGGAATCTGCAGTGCAGGGAACCAAGGCCGGACGGATAGGGAATTGAACGAACCCGTAGCAACCGCTGCATGCCACACATACAACGAATATTTCGAAGAGATGTGAGGAATTGGAGAGTTTTGTTGCTAACTCTCAAAGTATACAAAGAGCTGAGATTCAGATGACCACAGATGACTACTTATTAGCACTCCTCCTCGTCGGCCCTGTAGAAGTAGTCGTCGTCGCGGTTGTGGTGTTTGTCGTAGCGGCAGGTTCGGAAGGTCGTACAAGTAAAGTCGTCTTTGCAGTCATCGGGGCTGTGCTGCCAGTATGTCCAGCTTGTTTGCCAGATTCGAAAATCTTATAAGGGATCGTATGCATATATATATATATATGTATACATATATATATATATATATTACCAATGGGGGGATACCATGTAGCTATATATATATATGTATACGCTTTATCCTGTTTAGTCAGCTGTTGCACTGTCTTGTCCCTCGCAAGCAACTCCGAAATCTCTTCCGGCTTGTGCGGGCGGGTACGAGGCGCCTCCTTGCTGAACCCTTGCACTCGTAGGCTAGAAAGCCTCACTTCTTTGGTTTAGGGCTTAGGATTTAGGGTTTCGGGTTTAGAGTTTATAGGGCCAGACCCTAAACATCCCTAAACCCTAAATCCGGAACAATCAAACATCGCAATTCACTAAATTCATCAAACGTGCCTGTAGTTCCAAAGTCGACAGAAACCCTTCTAGAATTAACACGTACGTACCTGGCGCCACAACAAAAGCCAAGACACCAAGGAAGACGATCAAGGAGAGAAATGCAAGGCCAGCTAAACTGGCCACCGAGATCACGGCAACCATCAACCTAGACGGCAACTATAGCGGCTCGGAAGCCGTTATTTTACTCGGACCCTATGGGTCTGGGGTGTCAGGTCGTAGTATGCACAGAGCGCTTCAGAGTTTAGGGCTTGTTTGGTGTGCAGCATCGACTTCGATCTATAAAGGAGCTCTGAGTGCACTGTTTCGGGTTGGAACCCCGGGTTTAAGGGTTTAGGGTTGAAGGCTTGGATGTCGGACTCATGAGGCACACAGCAAAACCTCAGAACAGGTCACCGTACCAATCCGAAAGATTCAAACTGAAACCGCTAAACCTGCGAGAGCCCTGCCCGACCCGAAACTGACCCCAGACCCCAGAGTCCGGACCCTAAAGCGGATCTCAGAATTTCCCGACGATGTGAAATCTAAACTGATCGCTTCCGGTCAGGGAGCGCTGTGTTCACAACATCGCTGTTTGGCTCCTGCATCCGTGACAACTAGTTGAAGCAGTGAACATAATCGCAGCCAAAACGTAAGAGTTGTAGGAGTAGGAGGTGAGGAGTAGGAGCAGAAGCAGGCATAATTAGGGGTTGGAGTAGGAGCAGTAGGAGAAAAACTAGGAGCAGGAATAGGCAGAGGTTGGAGTAGGAGTAGGGGTAGGAGTAAGAGTAGGAGGCGTAGGGGTTGGAGTAGGTGTATAGGGCAGGAGTAACAGTAGTAGTAGCAGTAGCAGTAGCAGTAGCAGTAGCAGCAGCAGCAGCAGCAGCAGTGGCAGTGGCAGTGGCAGTGGCAGTGGCGGTGGCAGTGGCAGTAGCAGTAACAGTGGCAGCAATTCCAGTAGTGGTGGTGGTAGTAGTAGTAGTAGCAGCAGCAGCAGTGCTGGTGGTGGTAGTGGTAGTGGTAGTGGTGGTGGTAGCGGTAGTAGTGGTAGTAGTAGTGGTAGTAGTAGTAGTAGTAGTAGTAGTAGCAGCGGCAGTAGCAGTAGCAGTAGCAGTAGCAGGAGAAGGAGCAGCGGCAGGAACAGGAGCAGTAGCAGTAGTAGGAGCAGCAGCAGCAGCAATGATGATCAGAATAGTCGTACTAGTAGTACTTGTAGTCGTCGTCGTTGTCGTCGCCGGAGTCGTCATCGGTGTCAACGTTGCCGTTGCCGTCGGCGCATGAGTAGGCCATGAGCAGGAGGAGGACGACGGCGGCGGCACGAGCATGAGCAGAGTATGAATACTGAAATGAACCAAAAGTTCACCTTCGAGCTGATGCAGCTTCGCATACTTGTGGCTGATAAGTTAAAGTTGGCAGTTGTTGCTGAATCAGTACGACTTGTTGCGGCGATCATGAGTATCGCCATGCTTGTTGAAAATGCCTGCCTGTTCCCGTCATCGCAGATGTCCTCTGAGTTTCAAGGAGTAAATAGCCTTCTGGGATTCAAGGCCGCTTTTCGGTGTGCCGGGCGGTATCAGGACAACTGCAAACATGTATTTCTCAGGGTTAGAGGTCGAATTTAGTCCGCAAGTCCATTATACATTGTATGGGGAGCGTGGGTGCATACCGATATGGGACATATGGTATGGTCTTGTTGCATCGGCAAATTCCTTCCGGCCACGGAAAAACTCCGCATGCTTAGATCAATTATCCACCCATCGCTGAACATCAGCTGAAATGCCGAAACGCAGGCGTATGTGTATACATGTATGCAAAAATCATAAGCATTTCTACACATATATCTATGCATTATATATATATACACATATATATATATATGTGTGTGTGTGTTGTAAATCTTATCTATATACATATATATATATACCCTTGTGTATCCATATACACATATATATATATACGTACAAACATTCAAATATACATACATATATATATATATGTATGCATGTATGCATGTATGCATGTATGCATGTATGTATGTATGTATGTATGTATGTATGTATACATACTGTACAGAGAGGGAGATTAACATTAATATGCCTGCTAGAACAAAAGAAGGAAATTGCAACACACAACACAATATATATATATATAAATATACGTACACAAATATTGACATGTAACAGATGTGCAGATGTAGAAAACAAGTGTCTGCAGTATAAGTTGTGCAGACAAGACGAAGCCTCCTGTCCAGGTAGGCCCGATGTCGTGACAGGGGTAAGGATGCACCAGACCTTGCAGATGAGATCGGAGGGTTGGGGGGTTCCACAAAAGTCAATGCGCCAATATTAGTGTATGCTTCGGACTTGCAGGGGCTCCTGTTTTTGAAGGTCCACAGTCGAATCAGTTCCATGCGCGTAAATACATAAACAAAAAATATATACATGTATACCTATAAATATATACATATACATATACATATACATACATATATATATATAGATAGCGAGGCACATGGACCCATAGGAGTCACGGGTGTGCGGTCGAGTTCGGGTTTCGGTGAGAAGCTCCCAAGACGGTGAATCGGCGCGGGTCTCCCCCGACTCTGGACTCCCTGTCTTGGGGTTTAGGGTTTTTGATTCAGGGTTCTGGGGTGTGGGATTTAGGGGTTTAGGGGTTTAGGGTTTTAGGATTTAGGGTTCTGGGGTGTGGGTTTAGGGTTTAGGATTCAGGGTCCTGGGGTGTGGGATTTAGGGGTTTAGGGTTTAGGATTCAGGGTTCTGGGGTGTGGGATTTAGGGGTTTAGGGGTTTAGGGTTTTAGGATTTAGGGTTCTGGGGTGTGGGATTTAGGGGTTTAGGGGTTTAGAGTTTAGGATTCAGGGTTCTGGGGTGTGGGATTTAGGGGTTTAGGGGTTTAGGGTTTAGGATTCAGGGTTCTGGGGTGTGGGATTTAGGGGTTTAGGGTTTAGGATTCAGGGTCCTGGGGTGTGGGATTTAGGGGTTTAGGGTTTAGGATTCAGGGTTCTGGGGTGTGGGATTTAGGGGTTGAGGGTGTAGGATTTAGGGTTTTGGGGTGTGGGGTTTAGGGGTTTAGTGTTTAGGATTTAGGGTTTGGGGTGTGGGGTTTAGGGGTTTAGGGTTTAGGATTCAGGGTTCTGGGGTGTGGGGTTTAGGGGTTTAGGGGTTCAAGGGTTTAGGGGTTTGGGGTTCAGGGGTTTGGGGGTTTACAGTGAGGCTCAGCCCAAGTTCCCAAATCCGAAGCTATCACCAAACAGCAGGAAAACACAAACAAGTGACAGCATGAACAAGGAGGACGACCAACCCCGCAAGAGCCAAGGATTCTTGCTAGTTTCGGCCCTTCTTCTAGCGACTTCTCTGCTGGGAACCGTTAAGAGCTCAACCCTATACGTATATTGAAGGCAGCCATCACTTATTGCACTCATATGCCATGAGCACTTGCTTCAACAGCAGGATGAAAAGCACCAGGGAGCAATAAGGGCTTGACGCTTGCTCTCTCGCTCGCTGTCTGTCTCTCTCTCTCTCTCTCTCTCTCTCGCTCTGTGTCTGTGTCTCTCTTAACGTTCTCTCGTTCTGTGCATGTATCTCTTTCAACTTGCAGCTCAGGAGCCATACCGGGCAGAACTACGATGGCCAAGCATACCACAGAGCTCACGAAGCCCACCTGGTCTCAAGGAAGCTTGTCTTGTGGTTGAAATGTCTCGAACTCCGGACCACAAAGTCAAGGGTGCATGTACCTTGTGTGTACATACGTTAGCCTGGAAAAGGTACATATAATAGTTACGTAGGTGGGCACCGAAGGGACTCTGTGCTGTGCAGCCATATGCGCTTGCTCTTGTTTGCTTTGAAGAAACGCACACCTGCGCACATGGGCATGAATACTCCGTCGAGCCTGCAGGTGATAAACACGCAAACAAGCAAGCAAGCAAGCAAGCAAGCAAGCAAACGCACAGAAACACAAAATATAAAACAAGAACACTAACAAACTACCAACCAACCAAACAAACAAACAAGCACAACACACACACACAGAAACAAATAAACACAAGCACCAAACAGGCAAGCAAGTAAGCAAAAAAGCACTACCAACCAACCGAACAACACACAAGCGGACAATCAGGCTAACCAACAGACGAACTAAATAATTAAGCTGACTAACTGAATGGCCGACTGACTAACTAACAAGCATACCAGCAAACAAACACACACATGACAAACAATCAAACGAGTTCATTAACTAACTAATGAACCAACAAACCAACAGACCTACCTACCCACCCTCCCACTGACCTACGTACCTGACCTACCTCCCTATACCTACAGACTATACGTGTGCACACAATTATACATGCACATATATGCACGTACGTACATACATTTTCACAGATAACCACATGCACGTAGACGTATACATATGAGTATCCCGAAACATATACAAATATAAACACCAAAACATATGCATACGGATAAACTTACACATAAACAACTACATAAAAATATTATATATACACATACAAACAAAATATGGCATAATACAATAGGTTACAAGACAAGATAATGCAAGATAGTAAAAAAGTTATATAATATTTTATAGTACAGTAAAGTAATTGCCATACAAAATAAGATGCAGGAACTAGTGCAAAGTAATACAATTCACACTTTTACACATATAATCATATAATATATATCTACATACATGTACATATGCATAATCATAAACATACTTTTATATCTATCTATATATATAATAATTTAATAATAATAATAGTAATAATAGTAATAATATTAATAATAATAATATACATACATACATAAAAAAACATACTTTTTAAAACACACACACACACGACGAGACAGGCGAACATGATGTAAAGGTAGATCGAATGACAGACATATAGGTTGATAGTAGAAGACGACACACACACATATATATATATATATGTATACGTTAACATATGTATGTGTATATTTATATATATATATATACATATACATATATGAGTATGTACATATGTATATACATATACATATATATATATATTCATTTGTTTATATATGTATATATACATAATATTTATTTTTTTACTTAATATATTCACTTGCTCATTTAAGCGTGGACAGGCAGACAGACAGACAGACAGGCAGACATACGGATAGATGCACAGTCAGTGTGTGTGTGTGTGTGTTTGTGTGGGTTTTCGTGTCTGCATGCTCATGCATTGGCATGGCGGGAGATGCACGTCAGGAGAAATCACTCAAAAAAAAGTCTTTTGCACTGGGCTTCCTTGTCAGCCACTGCAAGACACGACATAAGTGAATTTAGTTGCGCCTGCGGTGTCATCTTAAACTTAAACCAGGAACCTGTTTTGTCGCGACGCAGGTGCTCTTTTCACAAATTGTTTAACCTTTTCTCTACTAGGTGGGCCCTGAAGAGAATGAAAAGCTTCATGTGGTTCTACATGACACAGCATAGGAGACAACCCACGGTGCCTAATTAGATCCGCTTTGCGTGCCAGACACAAAGGGAGCAAAGCCGTTAAATCCAAGACTGTCAATCCCAATCACACAAGCTTCTTAAGGACCCAGGCCCCAACCTGTTATGGCTGGAGCCGACGTCCCAGCTTTTCAGATGTCGAAGTCCGAAGGAACAAGGGTTGGAAGTCGCGCTCTTATTAACTGTGGACATGGCCCCGTAAAACCACGAAAGCTTTCCTAGGGTTTCCTGTGTATTCCGTGTGGGGCTGCAGGGTTTCGGGGCGCAACAGTCGCCGGGAGGCGAAGAAGATGTAGTTGCGCTGGCCAATGCAGTTGTTCACGAAAGGACAGTGGTGATCGTAGCGCATCACGCAATGATCACAATCAGGACCTTTGCACAAGAGCTGTTCAGGAGTATTGAGGATTAACAATAATATCTGCCAAAAGATGTTGCATTCGACTGCAGCATCCCTGAACGAACACAAGCTTTCCAGTCAGCCACGCCGAGCAATCCCCAGAAGAATCGTCCTGTCACTCAAAGACCGTGCAGCCCAACGGTTCCAGCATGGAAACTAGATCCCTACCTGAGGAACTCAATGCATGGGTCAAGCTTTGCACCAACAAATAGTCAAAGTCAAAAGTTAGAACCACACCTACTACGACTATTCTGACTACGACTACTACCACTAACACTACTACTGCTACTACTACTACTCCTCCTCCTCCTCCTGCTCCTGCTCCTGCTGCTGCTGCTAACGCCACTAGTACTCGTACTAGTGCTAATACTCGTACTACTAGTACCACTATTGCCACTACTCCGATCGAAAAATCACGAGTAATTTACGATGAACAAACATTTAACATGGTCATTACTCACACCGCTTATTAAACAGAAGTAACATTGCTCACATTATACTGAATGAGAACGGGTGGCAGTGGGAGGAGCGCGGCGGACGCACGATTTGGCACGTGCGGCACCACTTGTAGCCCCTGCCGAGGGTTACCGCTTGCGGCAAGTGATTGCACGTTCGTGAAGGATTCTGAAGTTGCTTGCGTTTGAGCTCGTTTCATGCTTGTAGACGTCAACGGATTTTGTAAGGACTATAGAAGGTTTTGGAATGGTTTCGTCTTGCGGGTTCTATCTAACTACTGTACTGCACTGAAAATATCGGCTAAATCGCTGAACACCAAAATCCTAAAAGCCAAAAGCCCCAACGTTGGGAAGGTTTTGCTTCTATTTTGAGCCGTCGGCGGTTGAGGAGGGGGCCGAGAGATGGCATGATGCGGGTTTAAGGCAGAGGAGTAGGGAAAGATCGATTGAACATTCAAAGGGATCAGATGCCGGAGGTGCTTGTAGAAGACTGAGTTTAAGATATATATATATATGTATATATGTATGTATGTATGTATGTATGTATGTATGTATATATGTATATATATATATATTTATTTATTTTATAGAGAGAGAGAGAGACAGAGCTCTTTCTATACAAAATATATGTATGTACATATGTAGGTGTGTATGTAATGTAATGTAATGTACTGTAATGGAATGGAATGGAATGTAATGCAATGTAATGTAATGTAATGTTATGTTATGTTATGTTATGTATGTATGTATGTATGTATGTATGTATGTATGTATGTGTGTTTTGGATTCTATACTTCGACCATACATACAGCGCTTTTATAGTGTCCAGTATAAATAGTACCCTAAGGCCTGAACCCTAATATACTGTAGACCCCTGATGTATAAGCCGCCCGCTTTTCTGCAAGGGCCTTAACACGAAGACCCACATGATGCTCCGTATCGTTTGAAGCATATTGATCCATGAAAACGTTTGACCTTTAAACTTTATATTCTAAATCCTGAACTTCATGTTCTAACTCTCAAAAATACTACAAATGTCAATGCCTTTGGGATGCATGCCCTTATGAACCCTAAACCATACAGCCTTGCACCCCAAGCCTGACAAGCCGTACACTTACACCCTCGACCCTGAACCTTGCACCCCACACCCGAGACTTTTAAACCCATAAAAACCTAAACCCCAAACAAAGCTTTCAAAGGCGAGCTGGCAGGCCAAGTCCAAACATCCCCCGCCCCCCAACAGGTGCCCGGCTTCCGTCTCAGCTCATCGGGAACCATGGCGCTACCATCCTTGGGCGCAAGGAGTTCAGGGTTTAGGGTATTGAGTTTAGGGCTGAACAATGGGCATTGACCGCCACATTGTGGTTTTACCGCAGGATTCGTACCGCCCTCTTGGGATTTATGTTTGGGAGAATTGTTTGGGGGGGAGATGCTATAGTTCAACTAATGGCCTTCCTTCAACCCATATAAGACCCATATTCAGGCAACATGTAGGGCCAGGTAGGGTGTAAAAAAGGAAGCCTGGACATGTAGGTCTCGGCTCGAGGACCAGTGTTGGGGTTTAGGGTCAACGGTCTTTGGCGCTCGGCTTGGGCCTGTTGGGAATTGGAAACCCTTAACCCCTAAACCCTAAACCCCAAATCCTAAACCCCCTAAACCCCCGAAAGCCAAGACCCCTAAAGCCTAAGCCCCAAATCCCAAACCCCCTAAGCTCCCTAAAGCCTAAATCCCCTGCACCTTGAACTCCCGAGTCTCCCTCATGATTTCAGATCATCGCTCTTAAGGCCTGCGTAAAGGATTATGGAAGGTAAACGGTTTAGGGTTTAGGGTTTACGGGCTAGCAGGTAATTCAAGTACTAGGTACCTCTGTTGGGGTTGTAGATTATAACTCTAAGTATAGCTACCTGATTTGGAGCCCTTGTTACTGTGTCGCATGACCCTTCAATTAAGTAGCCCCGGAACGCCTCAAACCCTAAATTTAGAATTTACGGGGTCAAAGGTCCACAGAATAGGGTTTTGGGGCCCAAGATACTATAATCATAATCAGGAATTCATGGGGCCTTGCAGGAAGAAGTTGTTCGTACACCCGAAAAAGCCAAAAAACACGCAAGCAAGAGAGGGAGATACGTACGCTGTCTGCAGTGCAGGTGAGCCGCGACGTCAAGCTGACCAGTAGGCTGGCCCTTGCCAAGGACTTCATAACCTGTGGCATTCGGGATCGAAACCTCCACTATCTGGGCAATACAGGGGCCTTAATTGTTTTGGGATATGCTATAATGTAGTTATAACAAGGCACCCCCCCAAAAAAACAGTATTGCTAATTATTCACACAGCTTCGGAGCCTGGACCGTCAACTTTTAAAGCCTGAAAGCACGAGTAGCCTTAAATGAGAGTTTGGGGTCTAGGGCTTACAAAGCCTAAAGCCAGAAACCCTAAAAGTCGAAAGCTAAGCCTGACACCCGGCCAGGCAACCCTAACCGAATCTGAGTCCTGTATTAAACACTTATAGAAACCTCAAAAGAAGCTTACCCGCTTACCCAAAATCCGTATGGCCCCTGTATAAGCCCCCTTGTGGGACCTTTTAGAGGCACCCTTCAACATGAAAAAACATATAACCCCGACATAAACTTGTCTGATTACACAACCTTCAAAAGGTATCCTTACATGAACCTGTAGACACACATGAGCCCCATTTTTAAGCTCTCTTGGAACCCTGAGCAAGAACCCTTACGTCAAGAAAACCCTAAATGCCAAAAACACTAAACACCCAAAATCCTACACTAAACCCCTAAAGCGCAAGGCCCGAAGCCCCAAAACCCAAAACCCCACAACCCTAAAACCCCCCAAAAAAAATCCCGAGCCTAGCATCTCGGTGAGCTCCTTCTCCATCCTCAGTCTTAAGGTTTAGGGTTTAGGGGTCAGGGTTTAGGGGTTTAGGGTTCAGGGGTTTAGGGATTAGGGTTTAGGGGTTTAGGGGTTTAGGGTTAAGGGTTTAGATTTAGGGTTTAGATTTAGGGCTGAGTAATAGGACCCTTGAGCCGTTTAGGCCTTACCTTGGCCTTAACACCAATTAACCTAACTTTCTGAGGACTTATACAAGGAAATCCTGTTGATGATAAATCCTGCAATACCTAGAATAAGGAATACACCGGAGTTATATCATCAACCGTCAGAATATCCCAAACAAATGCAGGCTTCCGGGCAGGGTGTAGGGGTGAGGATTCGATTTGAGGTTGAAGAACAATAGGATCCTTGAACCGTCTAGTTAGGGTTCAGGGTTTGGGGGTGTTTAGGGATTAGAAACCCTGAATGATAGGATCTTGAATCCTTAAAGTTTTCGGAGCTTAGGGGGTTTAGGATTTAGATTTGGAGTCAAGCGTTCTGAAGCTGTAAACCTGCATGAAAACCCAAACTCAGTTCCATTGCGTGCACTGTGGCCCAGCTTGGAGAATGAACTTCCGGCGCGGGATGATGCCAGGATCAGAGCAGCAGGTAAGGCAAAGCAGCCTCGACAAAGCCGACCAGATCTGTAGGGGTTTAAGGTTTATATAAACCCAAAACCCTAAACCCTGAACCCCTAAAACCCTAAACCTCCTAAACCCTAAACCCCCTAAACCCTAAACCCCCTAAACCCTAAACCCCCAACCCCCCTAAACCCTAAACCCCCTAAACCCTAGACCTCAGCCTTAAAGGGGTTCAGAGCTTTGGATTTAGGGCTTCTGTGTCTCGGGGGCTTTGGGCTTTGGATCTTCGGGGGCTTTTGTTAGAGGCTTGGGGTTTCCAAAACTCCCAACTTTGGGTTTAGGGTTTAGGGTTTGGGGTTTAGGGCTTTGGGTTTAGGGTTTTGGGTTTTGGGTTTAGGGTTTGGGGGCTGAGGCTTGGGAGTAGGGTTTTGGGGTAGGTGAGTCGGACCGCAGGAGGAGGGGGATGGGCGAGGAAAGCGAGACGGAAAGAACAAAGAGGTGCTGTTTCAATCACTGGAAAAGTTGGCGGTGATCTTGTCGAACGCGCCACACGTGGTATCGATAGAGGTGAGCCACTCACGGTAGGTAGCTTCAGACATGTCTTTGACAGACGAGCAGCCTGCCTTTAAGTTAGGCGGTTCAGAAGCCCAGAAGCTGATCTAGATAACAGTCGAGAGCGGATTGCTTGAGCACTCCATTATTTTTTTGGCTGCCGGGACGGGCGATGACAGCACGAATGTGGCACACATCCATCGAATCCCTTCAGACAATGGTTTGCGAGTGATGCACGAAAATCGGGACATCGAACGGTGTCTCAGGATGATCGTGGCAGTGCAAGACTTGAGACATCCAAGCCGGGATTATGGGTGTTCGCCTTACGACGAATGTCCCACGTGGCTTCGAGAGGGTTTCGAGTTTAGGTGCTTTCCCCACGAGCCCAAGGCCTTCACAAATCGATCAACTGAGGTGAGGACTATACCTTAAATCATGTTAGGGATGCCTCGAATTCAAGGTATATTCCAGAAGGACCCTAAGCCCTAAACCCTAAACCCCTAAACCCTAAACCCTAAAAAGGGATGTTGAGAAAGGTCTTGGTCGAGTGCAGGTTTCGCGATTGCGGGTTTGAGTCTGGTTAGGGCCGTATACTGGCAAGGGTTTAGGGTTTAGGGTAGTCAGAACAACCACCATCAACCCCGAATCCGAAACGCCGCAGGGTCCTTTTAGGATTTAGGGTTTAGGGTTTCTAGTGTGAGGATCTGGGGTGGAGGCTTGGGATGCAGTGCAGGGGCTTGGAAACATGAAGATTCAGTCAGATTCAGCATACCGTACTAAGTCTTGCTAAAAGGGATTCTCAAACAAGGTGCTAGTAGTGTCATAGGTAGATGTGAGCACTTGCAGGGTTCCGTGAGTGAGCGTATCCTGTTAGGACTGCGGGGTAGAAGATTGTTGTCCCCAGTGTCGGCCCATACCTGAAAAGTGGAACTAGGAGCAGAGGTCCAACCCTAAACCCTCAACCCTAAACCCTTTCGGATCAAGCGCGCAAAGCGGAGATTTTCTGTCTAACACGACCATGAAGCCTGGATCTGCCAAAGCCTGAAACAGTACTAAACCCAAAACCCTGAACTCTACATAAACCCCGAACACCTCAATCCTTATAAAATCCTAGAATAAAGATCCCGTACAGGACCCTCCAAATCCCTCACTTATAGGGATTATAGGGCTACAGTGTCAGGGCTGCCTTTTTTTTTGGGGGGGGGGCTCAATGGTTGGCTGCGGTTCTGGTCTTTTGATCCAGAGTAAGCATGGTATCTTGATAGCACGTAAAATTGAAAATGTCAGTAAGACAGCTGTGACTACCACGATGCTGAAATTCTGGCTTAAGAGTCTCATGACACCGGATCAACTACTGTGAAATAACATATTTGTGCTCTGGTACGTTGGGTATTGAGGTACACGTAAAGCAGCAGAGGGACATCGTCGTGACGAAAAACATGAGCGCGGCTGCAATGGGCACCACAGGAAACCACTCTTGCCACAGGCGCTCGGCAAAGATGGTGTAAATCCTCGTAGGCAGTACCCATAGGCCCGTAAGTAGTTCCTTTTTTGGGGATTATGTTTAGAATCGTATAAGGTAATCCCAAAAAGGAACTACTTAGGGGCCTATGGGTATTGTCGAAGGGTGTGGGGGACCGGGACGGCGGCGGTTTGGGTTGAAGCGTGGTAGGATTTCGGCCTTAGGTTGCCCGGCATCGTGGCATGGAGCTAACCAAACTGCCCCGACACGTCTCCTTTCGCCGAATCCTGAAACTATGCAAAAGGTTGGCGGCTTCTTTCACAAAACTGCCGAGCGGCCCACAGGGAACTAGGATAAAGGACCATGCGCAGACTGCAGGACCACCTTCCAGAGGACACAGTGGACACGCATGCTCATCTAAGCCTTCTCTTTCGCGGCTTTGTGTTTGGGACTATTGGGCCTCTGGTGTTGAACGTTTATAGGTTTGTATGACGGAATATGAAGTATTTTCTTGGAAAGGGGTAAAGGTTCCCTGCCCCTGAACCCTAAACCCTAACACTCCTAAGCCCTAACACCCTAAACCTTAAACCCTAAGCCCTAAACCGGAACACACGTTTGTGCGTCTGTCGAAAGTCCGGTACCCCCACATCTGAAGGCGAAAACCATCAGAAGCCCGAAGCTCTACAACAGTTTAGGGTTCAGGGTTTAAGGCTTAGGGCCTTATGGCTTAGGGCTTATAGCGTTTAGGGTTTAAGGCTTAGGGCCTTAGGGGTTTCGGACTTTGGGTTTAGGGTTTAAGGTTTAGGATAGAAACAATCAAGCCCCCAACCGAACTCATTGGCCCCATGTGTCAACATCCAAGGTGTTTCATGAGCCTGTTCGGTGTAAGTGAAGATGCTAGGGTTCCGATTCAGTTTAGGGTTTAGGGTTTAGGGGATTCGGTTTAAGGTCTCCTTTGCTTGTTTAAGGGTTTACGGTTCGAGATCATGTTTGGGGTGGGGGGTTTCGGGGTAAGGCAGCCTTTGTCCGACTCGCGGGCACATCCTGCAGATTAATTAACCCTTCGTATCTCGGCTGACCATAGTTTTTGTCCCTGTAATAGTCTATCAAGACATGCAACTCAATAGCGACCCTACACCACACTAAACGCCGCAAACTACTCTTTGCCGCAGAAGATGCTTGGATAAGCCGTTATACATCGACCGCGGCAGCAGAAAATGACGTTGCCGGGCCACACCTGTCACTGTCGCAGAGAATACAACCACAGCTCCACGTGCAAAACCATAGTCAATTGCCTGGAAATATCGAACACTATAAGGTTCGCTTTTGGATGTTGGGATGATCCTTCTTATATATGCAAGAAATGAGCAGTCAGGCTTGCTTTCTTATTGAAACCCCTCGTTTATGATGCTTCAACAACTTTTGCGGATTGTGTCTTCCATACCCTTTCTACTTGGAAAGCTGGAGGATACCTGAAGCAAGTGGGTGCAGGACCACAAGACTAGTTCAGATATGTGCACATCAGCCAAAACCCTTGTTTGCCTACCTCAATCGTGAAGGACTCACTGAGCCCAAACCAGAAGCCTGATTCAGATCCAATAGCAGCGATCTGCACCAAAGGCAAAGGGGGTTTAGGGGAGCGGCAGCAGCAATGTTGTCTCGTCCAGTGTGTTCATAGTAACAGCAAGCTCATTCAGCAGCGACGGCAGCGGCACTGGGTCAGCAGCAGCAGAAGCAGTTGCAGTCATTGGCAATAGCCAGCCTCAGCAGTAGCGGTGGGAGAATGACGAATGGAGAAGTATTTATGTGAGTGATCGCTATCAATTTTAGCATCAGCGTCGTCGTCGTCGTCGTAGTAGTAGTAGTAGTAGTCGTAGTGGTAGTGGTAGTGGTAGTGGTAGTGGCAGTGGCAGTGGCAGTGGTAGTGGTAGTGGTAGTAGTGGTAGTAGTGGGAGTAGTGGTAGTAG